AGTCAAAAGCTCCGTCATGGAGCAGCTAGCCAATTTTAGTCACTCGGCTTCAACAGAAGTCTCCTTCAAAATCATACATAGTCAGAAGAGTCGGCTCAATAGGAATCCAAGGAAGAACTTATAAACAGAAGAGGCTGCTAATATTTTTCGCATTTTATGGAAAAATTCTATAATTTTATACTGAACAATAAATTGGTTGTCCCCACCTGAGTTCTCGTTCACCATATAAGAACAAGATCTAGACAATCTCTACCTAGTTCACAATGAAATCCATGGTTATCTTTTTCTGAGCCTTGAACTTTACGAAAAATTCAGAAAATCAATCTATCACTACTAAATGGTTCATTTAAAGCAGTCAGTCATAAGATACTTTCGTTAAATTTATCATACCAATGATAAATTGAGAGCTGTTCACTTTTGAACACATAAGTTTAGTTTGAACTTGTTTTATCGTTTTTTGCCAAATGATCACTGCTTCAGCGAAGCATGATGAAGTTGTGCTCTTTTTTTTTAATTAATTGAGAAAACAGCGACTACTGAGTGAAAGTGAAATGATCACAAAATCAATCACAATATAAAGCAGGAAAAATTCCTTATCTATCTTATTTTAAATGGTGAACACTTTATTGTTTCTTCCAATTTATTCATCCATTTGTCGATGTATATTTTCTATTTATGTACATTTGAATGTGATGTAACTTTTAATAATTTCCTGGTTGCGGACTATTTACAAATAGTAAGGGTTTGAAGCAGAACACAAACAATTCATCAATTCTACGTTATTAAACCAATTTGTTTGATTATTTCAATTTATTTAGAAACTTTTGAATGGAATTCGTCATCATACATTCCACAGAATACAATGGACAGCTTGCATGCAACTAGACAATTTTGACTTCTCGGATCACCTAGCTCTCCTATCTCATACACACCAAAAAATTCAGGTGAAGACAGACAATGTAACAGCATCATCTGCATCAGTAGATTTCAACATACACAAAGGAAAAACCAAAATCCTCAAATACAACACAACGAGCACTAACCAAATCACACTTGGTGGAGAATTTCTGAAAGAGTTGGACAGTTTTACGTACCCGGTCAGCATCATCGATAGAAAAGGAGGATCCGGTGCAGATGTAAAGGCACGGATCACCAAAGTAAGAGCAGCATTTCTACAGTTGAAGAACATATGGAACTCAAAATAACTGTCAACCAATATCAAAGTGAGAATCTTCAATACGAACATCAAGACAGTTCTCCTGTATGGAGTTGAAACTTGCAGACCATCACAACCATCATCAGAAACGTAAAATTATTTCTAAACAATTTTCTATGCGAGATAGTGAATGTCCATTGACCGGTGATATCAGCGACAACCTACTGTGGGAGAAAACGAACCAGCTTCCAGTTGAAGAGGAGATTAGGAAAAGACACTGGAGGTGGATGGGTCGTACATTGGAGAAATCGTCAAACTGCATCCTGAGGCAAGTCTTAACTTGGAATCTTGAAGGGAAATAGAAAAGAGGAAGGCCAAAGAAAATACTGCGTCGAGAATTGGGAACAGACATGGAAAGGATAAATAGCAACTGGGAACAATTGGGAAGGATTGTTGAGGATAGGTTTGGACGGAAAATGTTGGTGGGCAGCGTATACACTTCCACGAAGGGTAACAGGTGGAAGTAAGTAAGCAAGTATTTAGAAACCTTCAGGTATTTACGTTGTAAATATGTATTCTCGAAAGGAGAAAATCAATCTTCAAACATGCATATCAGTTGAAGGTGGTGTTCGTTTACAATCAACATAAACGTACTTATTATTCGAAGTGATTTCTATTTATTAAGTTTCAGTGTAATTTAGTTGTAACTTGTTGCTTGATTTGTTTCAAATGCATTTCTTAGTATAATAAGTGTTCAGTGTAAAGTACTCAGTTTATGCATAAACTATACTAATGTAATAGAGAAGTAATTGATTAACAAGAATTCAAATAACAGGCCATTTGGAGCTCCCACCAATACATTTTTTTTATTTTCTCATCCATCACGAAGATTATAGTTGAAGTGTTATGTACTAGTCTTCCGGTCTATCCAGTTAGCGTAGGATTTTCTAACAGTTTGTAGTCAGAAACACAGTACAGAAACTCAATTTAAAATAATAAGTCAATGATATAACTTCGTTTTCATGTTGTATTTGACGACTTCCTATGCATTTCCATGTTGTAGAATAATTACAGTCTGTTGACAGTAATGCTGAGTCTTTTCGTTTGCTTTTAGAAGTTTTGACCAGCATCACCAATTGACACATTACATTGAAATCATGAGTCGATCAGTGTTAGACCACGGTTGAAAACTAGGAAGTACTGGACGGATAGTCGGGTGTAAAGCAGTTACCCAACAAAGACAATAGAAGATGATCGTGCAATATCATGATTCGCTTGAAGTGAGACACTAACATCAGTGAATGCCTGCTCAGTGATCTAGAGGTTAAGCGTCTATGTAAGACACCGAATGTCCTAAGGTTCGATTCCCGCGTGCGGAAGCAGTGCCGTAATAGGATAAAACAATCGTCTAGTGCTTCTACATTATTAATGATAGTCTAACATTTATTGATGCATGATTTCAACGAAACTCAATAATCTTTAACAACCCTATACTTATAATCACAAAACATTACAATACAGAATATGTTCATCTGCTTAATGAAAATACTACTATTTCAATATAATTTAGTAAACAGTATTATAAAATCACTCTTAAACAAACTAAATGGTTTGTTATAAACACAGGAATCAATGAAAACAAAAAACAACAATACATCAACTAGAATAGACTATATAATAGAATAAGAGAATTGAAATGTCTAGATTGTCTTAAAATAATGACATGAAAATAAAATGGATTGTTAATCAAAAAAAATTTACATGTTAACAAAAGAAAAATGTGAAAAAAAACAAACACAAAAACAAATAAAGTTGCACGATGTATTTTTTTAAAATGTGAAATACCGAAAAATAATTTAGTAATGAATTCAAATATTTTCAACTAGAGGATATTTCTAAGCAATGATGGATAGTGGCTAGCAGTGGAATCCAGGACGCGCGTTTCGTCCTATGTGGGACTAGTCAGCTGGATGTACCTGCATCTCATAGAGTTGATATTCACTCTGGGACTCGAACCCAGTACCATTCTCTTCAAACGCCGTTGCGTTATCCACTCAGCTACTGAGTCCTGATGGCCACTTGCTTGTGCAATGGGGTGAATTTGAATTCAGTTGGTATTGTTATAAATTAGTTAAGTAAATGTAAGTGAATAAATGTTAATTTTCTTCTCTTTTGTTTGTTATATCCCAATAAGTAAAAAGATTATATTGTACCTGACATTTTTGTGACCTAATTGTAAGCCATTTCTTTAGAGTAAACCAATAACTGATTATGGCAACCATACTTGTGATATTTACATACTCAAGCGTACCGTGACTTTGATTGTACGAGAAATATTCTACATTGTTTTCTTTGTACTACTTAAATTTGTGTTAATTTTATTTCGGTTATTGATTTATTCTGAAGAGGTGGTTTACATTAAGTCAAGAAACGTCAGAAATACAATTTTTCTAGTCACTGGGATATAACAAAAAAAGGAAAATAAACATTTATTATTAACTTTCTACCCAGTGATCAATTTATTTGAAGATAACAAGTTTAACCTTAGTATTGATATTTACGAAAAGAATAACTGGTTTAACAATTGAAACCTTTAGTTTCTAACTGTTAAATTCGTAAGTTCAAATTACATCTATTCCATCCATTATTGAACAGTTTTGACAGATAGAATAGTATCACTTTGATACTCGGTATCTGACTTCAACTGTATCGGATGAACACAATCATCACATTTGTGGCCAGCTGATCTGACTCCGACTTGAATCGATGTATTAGTAAGTTATGAACATAAATCTTCCATTTAACTCCGTATATTAACCTAGGTTAACCCCGTTTGTGTGACAACGGTAATAAGAAGCCAAATACGGATTGAGTTAGAGGAATTTATTTCAAGGATCTGTTTATCCAAACAGACACTCAGAATAAAAAGCGGGAGAATGAAGTGGAGAAGGCAACTCGTTTTGATAAAGCGAGACTCCATATTTATAATCAGACAAAAATAAGTTACAGACACGAAATGAATAGGATGTGAGTAATTAACACATAAGCTCAAATAAAAACACTCAAGGTTAATAAGTGAATAATTAACAAAGTCAAAATGTGATTTAACATGAATAAATAAGTCGGTTTGTTCGGAAGCTAAAATAATCGATGTGAACTTGACGTAGGATTAAACACTACATCACTACTAGTCATTATCACAAATAAAAAAAATACCTATCACAACGTCAAGTATACGTGTGTTTCAATATGGTCAGTGAATTTATTTTACCATGTATGGTGATTATAATTTAAATCATAGGAATTTATATTCACAAATAATGAATGATAAACAAAATTAAATTTAATTAAATGATGATCATAGTAATAATTGAGATCATGAATCGATCGATGTTAGACCATCATTGAAAACCTGATGGCACTGGACAGCTGTTTCGTTTTAATATGGGACTCCTCAGCAGTGCGCTTCCATGATCCTCGTCAAGTAAAGACAGGTATCCACCTCAGACAATGGAAGATGATCACGCATTTTCGTGTATTGGTTGAAGTTAGACATTAAAATTATTGGATGCCAGCTCAGTAGATTAGAAATTAAGTGTTTGCGCGCGCGATCGAATGTCCTGGGTTCGAGTCCCGTTGGTGCAGGATGGTGGATGCGCACTGCTGAGGAGTCCCATACTGCGACGAAAAGTCCGTCTAGTGCTTCCAGGTCTTTAATGGAGGTCTAACATTGATCGATGCATGATTTTCATAAAAAAACTTAGCAATCTCTACGACCACATACTGATAATAATAATAATAATAATAATAATAACAATGATAATAATAATAATAATCAACTTACAGCTTTTTCTGTGATTAAAATTAAAACATCATTACCATTGCATGCTCCAATTTTCCATTTATTTCGAATATTGTTTGCATATTGTACGATTGAAGCATTTTTACTTTAACAATGAGAACGATTCAAGTTTAATTGAATTCAAGATCAAGAATAAAAAAGCGGAATGAAAAGTTTCAATAATTGAAGAACACTTTTCATAAGCTAAGTGTATTTTCAGTTTGAAGACAATTCTTGATGAGATTATAATTTATGGACGACCTTTTGGCAACTTTAAAATCATCTTAGAATGTCCACCTACTTTATTAGGGTTACGAATTAGTGTGAGGAATTAGGATTACGATTTACAGTTGAACGTTAGGCTTGCGAACTAGATTTAGTGTTTTCATCATGAACTTACATCAGCTATAATCCCAAAATAAATGGCATTTAGCCAAATAAGTGAATGAATTTCGTGCCCAGATTCAAAATCTGCTATCTTAAATCTGATTGGTTCACCTATAAATTATAGTCTCGTCCGATTTTTCCTTAAAACCAACAACAATTAAACAATCAATGAAAACCAAGAACTAAGTGTTTTGTCCCAGGTTTTGGTTTTTTAACGAAATGAATTTGTGATTTCACATGGGATTAAAACTTAACACCATTATGAATGACACGATAATCATATTCAGTTGGTGAGTTGCATTTTGAAGCGCTTAGAATATCCATTTCCAATCTAATTATCATAGGTTCTGACTAGGGCATCTATAGATCCATCTTGAAATTAAGCAATAATCACAGCACGAGAGTATCATTTAGTCATGGTACAACTGATTAATTACTGAGTAGAGACCAATGCTACATATGTTCAGCCCTCTAATACTGACCGAATCCTATCGACCAAGTTACAGTGGGTCCATTAGTATAGGTGACTCAGTATTGAGTGAACGATTTTAAGATATTAGGTAGCTATCCAAAAAGCGTCGGACCTAAGTCTCGTGTTAGTTGACACTCATCAACAAGGTTTTTCTGTTATCTTGAGAGAACTCATGAAGTCTGTGTGATTTTAAAACTCTTATCACCCACTTCCAAAAACTGAGACGCTGCCATTGAGCTATTTCGGCTGCAACTGAGATCCTATAGGACTGAGATAATTAAACTTGATTGACTACCGAATAGTGACCAATAAGTTTGTCTAACCCTAAGTGCTGATTAGATTCAATCAAACAACTTATCCGGTTGTACTGAGTAGATATTTACTTACTTCAAAGATGGTCCTCCTCTCTGATTAGTACTGGTTAGAGTAAAACTAGTGAATACTAGAGAGTTGTTTCACCTACGTTCACATTTCTATATAAAGAATGGGGAAAATTGTATGACGATGTGTCGTTCAGTTTTAATTACCACTGTTTATTCAAAATAGTGATAATATTGACCAGGTTGAATCTATTAACAACAAGAAAGTCGTATCGCCATACCTAACATGATTAAATGCTAATTATTAAAAACATTTAAAAAGTTAAAATGTGATTGATTAGTTAACATCACCTTGTAATACTTATTTGCTGGCGGAATAAACAAAGAACTTTGAAGTTCTATACAAAACTTATTGATGAAGTACAGACTTATCTGTTCAGCTTAGGACCAAACTTTTGTGATATGAAGGCTAGTGATGTTATCGGATAGAGTGGGATTCGGACATTAGGCCTACTACTCTAACTCCGATTACTTTAAACATCAACCCACGACATGAAACCTTAAAATCACGAAAACCAAAGAAAATAAAAATACACGATTAATGGAGTTAATCTTATTTGATTTTCAGAATCGTATTATGCAAGAAGATGGCAAGAAATGTCCAAACAAGGATAAGAGAAATATGATGACATTACTGCTGCATCGATAACTGCAACGGCAAACCAGAAAGTGTGTAAAAAAGAAAGATTTACGAAACATAAAGAGAAAAATACATATCTATCACATCAAAAATACTAAGTAACTTACTTTGAAAATGGTTTCGAAACTAGGGCTGTTACAACAAGTCTAGCGTTTTGATTAACTTCATTTCTAAAACACGGATGACGACATAAACATGGTGTTTCTCGAGGATAATGTAATAACAATTCATTTATTGATTGTCCTAGAAAAATATTTTTTTAAATTAAATATTTAAAAAAATTTGGTCCAACGATTTGATTCTAAAATATCTGAAAATACTGAGATATGAATATTCGAAATGTACACTAAACACGTAGCAATATACTGAACCACTTCGTGGCTATTTGGTTTGCAAATAGTAGGAGCAAATGACAATAGTTGAGTTTAACCTTTAATCATATTAATCACTCATAGTTGTAACACAACAAAATGGAACTAAAAAACCTCTTAAATAAACCGTAATGCTCAAGAAAAAATTCATAAAAACAAAAATGAATAGATAGGAAACAAATAAGCATATAACTAAAATATGTTTAGTTTAAAAGAATAATACATTTTTAGTATAAGCGCTAGTGATTTCAGCCCACTGTTAAAATGAAATTAAGAAAAAAATAGGACATTTAGATCTGTAATCCCTAGTAGTTGAAAATTAAAAGCTCTAACTATTAAATCATTACAATAAGAGGGGGGGAGAATCTTGAAATGTTGATAACTTTGGAAATCATAAGTAATAAACGATTAAAATTTATAAATCTGGTTTGATAGGTTGTTTTTTATTGAAGCACTGACAATACTACTTAAGTATTCATCATGCTGTACTAATGCAGTATGGTTAGTTAAATCGATGTACATGTATATATATATATATATGTATATGTATATATATATATATATATATATATATGACAGTTTAAACTAGTGAATCCAAGCATTAGAGTAGATAAGTATAGTAATTATAAATGGTAATTTCAAGTGTTTAAAGTGAAGTATAGCATGAAAAAGAAGAAAATCGAAATGACCTGAGAAAATCTTAACGATTTTTTTATTCCAGTTTTTAGTTACAAAAATAAGCAACGCTTAAACCTGTGTATAAGTTTGCAATCATTGAGATTTTATGGAGCTTGAAATGTAAATTAAGCAGAATGACTTTATCTATAATCTACTGGGTTAACTATACCAATATTCAAATAACCTTAAAGTATTAGAACACGTTTATGTTTTGGTGGAGTTTTGTTCTCCAGCTCAGAGAACAAAACTTCACCAAAATCATCCACCTGAGCTACAAATCTTCTCCACCATCACACGTCTATGTCATTTGAACAGTGATTAGAATTTAACTTGTGACCTTTGATTTTAAATGATTTTAAAACATTGTACTGGACAGGTAGAAGTACTCAATATCTAACAGTAGGGTTGTAGGTCTATGACAAACATCATTTTTTTCATCATCAGCATAGGGTTGTGGAGATTGTTGAGTTTCGATTGATATCATGAATCGATCAATGTAAGACCACCATTGAAAACCTGAAGGCACTAGACGGTCGTTTCGTTCTAGTATAGGACTCATCAGCAGTGTACATCCACGACCCCGCAATCGAGAGTCAAAACCAAGACCTTTAATCTCTCACGCGAACGCTTAGACTCTAGACCACTGACCAGGCATCCAACGGTGTTAATGTCTAACTTCAACCAATCCACGATACTGTGCGACCGTCTACCACTGTTCTCAGTGAGTAACTGCCCCACAACAGACACGGTTGAATTCCACTGGTCATGGCTTCTCGCTAGAACTCCAGAAAATCTATCTTGCAGCTAGTCACTAGTGAGCACATGATACTAGGAAGAAACGGCTGTCCAGTGCTTCCAGGTTTTCAGTGGTGGCCTAAAATCGATCCATTCATGACATCAATCGTTTTTCTCAGTTGCAATAATAGGGTAGTAACTTAACCCTTAACATATACATGAACAACTATGACTTTAAGCCAAATACACATATCTATGTACAGTTATAAAGTTACACGTCATTATCACTTATTAACATAATGGACGAATAGAAAAATAATCTAAATAGAATATAACAAAAATTACATAATGATTATTTATTAGTCTGTATCCCCATATCATTCAATGAACTTCCTTCCCAAATTAGAACCAAACACTTGCATACATTTTTTACGAAATTTTAATAGTAGTGGTAGTGTTGATAATAATAATAATAATAATAATAATAATAATAGATTGGATATCGGTATTTAATTAACATTACTTGCCAATAATATGGAATACTCTAAAAGAATGAATTATAATCAATGATGTCCTTCAAAGAAAAATGTTGCGTTGTCTTTAATTTTGTTTATGTAAATATTTTGCATATACATATATACGTATAATAAATGCCACTACCATCTAACAGATGACTTAATCATGTGATGATTAACACATGAGGATAAGATGAAAACCTATTACATACTAACTAATGAATTCCTTAAAAATATAAAACAAGGATTATGCCATAGCTTTTTATTAATTTTAACTTAGAGAATAGGTTATGAATTATCATTTGTAACAAGTTTAAAATATGAGTAAGAGGAGAAGAAGAAGAACATGGAGCACAAGTACTAAACAACACTACTGATATTGGCATTATCATTATTATTATTGCTACTGCTTTGATATAGTGATTAGGAGATTAATTTGTTGAGTCTAAGGTTAACGGAATGATTTGTTGGTTTAAGTTTAATCGGATCAAAAATAAATTACTACATGGTGTAATTTGAAAATTAAAATTCTAGCTGTAAACTCAAAATTACATTGCTTTCTTTAAATGTAAAGCGAAAAAAATAATGTTTATTCAATAATTAGAACTTTCAAACATTTTATCTTTTGATGCTTTAATGAAGGGGTAACATTTGTGTTATGTCCTTAGCTTATACGAATATAGCGAAGACATACGATTGCCAATTTAGATACCCTGACTTATATGAACAAACTAATGACGTATACACCAATATGGGCAGCCTAAAGTTCTGATTGGTCGTTCTTCCGCCTAACCATGCCTGTTAAGTCCAGAACGCCAATATCAACCTCCGCTATATGAATCATATATTTCAAACATACTGGGTTTATATACAAACAAATCAGACCACCACACACCATAAAGTAGAAAATAACATTTGCAAAAGATCTAGCCAAAAGTGACTGTGATTGTGAGAAACTGTTACTAGTAAATTAGGAATATCTCAAGAATAGTAAATCATATACAGTAACGAATAGGTCAAATAAAATCTTATAATGAAAGGAATATGAATATACATATAACACAGTCACTTAATAGCCATACAATAGGAATATTCGTATAATATTAGTCCATAAGTAATTCCTAATCGTTACCATTCATTTATTGTCGTCCGGATATAACAATTTGTAGTAAACTCATAATACTGAAAATGTTGATTAGTCTTAGAAACTTTCGCTTAGAATATATGAAATCTAAAACCATGATTTTTTGCCGATAGTCCCTAAATATATACCATCAATTTCTGTACATTTTTGATTACTCTAAAGTTGTAGTGGGACAATCTTGACATTATTCAGTTAATAAATTCAAACATTACATCAATCCGAGCTGTTGTGTAATAATACCTGGCCTTAAAACAATAAGTGTGGCTAAACATCAAGTATACAAACTTACAACTAGGCAATGATTTATATCGATCCGATGGAATACTAGTTGTTATATATAATAGATTACTACTAATTTGGTTGTCTGTCAGTTCATCGGCACTACTTTTTGCATGTCATACATAACTTAAGATTACATATCTTTATCCAATAATAATTTTCTTTAAATAAAATTTATGAAAACTATGTAAATTCACAAAGGACGTTTTAAATTATGAAAATTTTCAGTTGTGAACTTATCAATCAATTACAATTCATGGTGTGAAAAGAAATGAGTTCACATTTATTGAGTAGCCTCCTTATTTATGATGATATAATGTTGGCACCCCTGAAATCTACATAAAATGAGGCGTTTTCTTTTAACCTAATATAATTTGTATGTTAACTACGAGTAAGTACGTACATAATGTATATAACTTGATGACAATACACTATCCTTTATGTGTTACACCAATAAATTTATTATGAGAAATAAACACGTTTATGTATCTCATCTAAAATATATATTATAAAGCTGAAAACAATCTTAAACGTCGGTATAAGAACATTAGAAATTTTAACAAGGACTTATAAGTGAGCAGATGTATCAATGTAGCTTACCGGCCAAAAAATAAATATGTCCTAACTCAAATAAGATGTAGGTTGTGCCACATAGATATTTGTTAAGGAATAGGATACCTAGATTGGTGTAACTCCACAAGTAAATGAAACAGTTAACAAATTCAGAGACTTCACATAAGTATTTTTCAACTATATATTTATGCATATCAATTATCATTCTACATTTAGCAGTTGTTAAACGCATATCAAACATTCTTACTTTTTTCCAGTATTTCAGAACCATTAACACATTGAATACAAAAATATAATATATCAATGAAATTCATATATAACGCCTAAATAATTTTAAATTAGATTAGCAAAATTCTTTGCTCTTTGTTTGGCCTGAAACTGGTTCACTTGCCAATTTACATAAATGGACATGTTGACATGATCCCGACATCAAGAGTAAGATTATTGGTTAATTTAATATGATAATCATTTAATTTAACGTTCGATTATACTTTGAAAATTTCAGTCATTAATTAGTTCAGTATGTTATTCTCTTGCAACCTGATAATTTCTATTGTATTCACTCAGTTTGTGACATTTGTTCAGTGTGAAGTTTGTTTTTAAATTACAAATATTCAACTGCGTTTCAGAGTCATACGCGACGTAGAACCTGGAACATATTTACACAGACTTATGTTGTCACAACTCATTAACAAAGTGAGATGGAATTGTTAGGGCAAATCCTAGTGATATAGATAGTAACATTATTAGTGACATCAGAAAAGACTAGGCATCGAAATTTACGATTCGATAAGATAATACGGATTAATGGTACAAACATTTTATACGGGAATTAAAAAAGCTTTGGATTTAAGGGGAGATAAAAAGTGGATGCACCTGTGACATTGTGAGCGGTTTTGATTCATGTTACTCAGTGTACAACCGTCGTCTATAATAATCACGCAGACCACAGCCAGGTAGTCGTCACCTACTCAATATTTACTGAAAAAATTCCTGTATAAAAAATGACATTTCCTCATAAAATGTATCCGTCGAAGTCGTAGTCCAGGCTTTGTCTCCATGTTGTCTGTTTAGTTTGAGGATTAGGTAAAGAGTATTGGGGGAATATGTTTAAAGAGTAATTGTGTGCGCTCACTTAGTTGAACTAAGACGTACTAACTAGTTGCCTTAATATTTTCGAATAGATTAACAAAGATTAGACTATGAGTCCTTTATAACAAGAGGAAACTAAAACAACGAAATTTATCAAGGATATTTTCACTAACCTAAAGTTCTAAGAACTACTCAACCAGAGACATAATGATTAGAAGAAAATGAAGTGGCTAGATTAAAATTATATTCGTACCCCTGCAAAAACGTTCTTAATATTATTGTCGTTATTATAGATTTCTAACGACTTGGTTCACATTTCGAGTGAGAGAAAAGTGCAAACATACCGATTAGCTCATTTTCAAAGAATCAGTCGTAATGAAAGTAAAGAGGTACCACAAGCTTGATATGTTTTATATGGACATATGGTTTTAAATCCGTATGTACACACTGAAAGTGTCAGAAAGTTGAAGAATACTTTTAAAGAGAATCGAGAGATATGGCTATGTCAGTCAGTCAGCTACAATGTAGAACCAGGCACATATATGCATCGATCCAAGTTACCATACCTCATAAGCACAACAAGATGAACACCAAATTCATAAAGTAGTTACTTTAATGGTAGTAATATATAAGAGAAAGATTGTGTATAAGGATATAGTATAGGGAGAAAGAATTAGAAAAGTATAAAGTAATTTTAATCTCACGACTTAAGGGAAGACAAAGAGTGTATACACTGACGCTGTTGTAACCGAATCTGAGCCATGTCACCCAGAGTCTCCAACCATTGTTACGATAGTCACGTGGATCCCAACCAAGTAGTCTGCATCTACCAACATGACAGAGACCAGAAGTTAGTGACTTTGTGAACCGGTACCACGTTTTGGTTTGGCCACCCTTAACTTTCTTCCAACCATCCCCAACACTAGTCAGCATTGAGTGTCGTGATAATCGGTGTTCAGGAATACGTAACACGTGGCCCAAACATCTCAATTGATGAAGATTTACAACCTCATCGTCTGATTTACCATCTTCTGGCTATGTTCTTGACATGTGACGAGTTTTTAAAAAATCATTTTATTAGGTTAGAACATACTTGACAGGTATTTTCCTGAAATGTTGTAACTCGATATCAGGAAATTAAAAGATAGAAAAATGGGGGAAGTTATTCTATAAACAAAGTCACTATTAACGTTTAACGTCTAAACACGATGAATACTAGATTTTCATGTTAAAAAAAGACAACGAAACTGAGGTAACTCACTAGCAGAATAGTCAAGAATTTTATCAGGATCACAAACGTATCCCTTTTTGTCGAGTCCACATTTCTTGAAGTCTGATGAGTAAGGACTGGGGGGGAATTCGAATTCAACATCTGAACCATTTGAATTATCAATTAACAGAATTAAACTAAAATGCCAAGCAAGAAAGCTTTTGCGGAACATTTCATTTAAATTATGAATGGGATCTGTGTAAAAGAGAATACAAAACAACAGCGATTTGTTTTTACAACGAAAGTGAACAGAACGAAATATATGTGAATTAATACATGATGAGGTATTTAAAAATATAACTTATGTACAGGCACGTGTAGTGAATTTTTCTGCATTAAATCAGATTCTAGTGTAAAAATTTCATTATTGGCAATCTATCTACTGTTTACGACTCATACTTAATCCCATGTAAACAAAACCTTTAAAAGCCAAATTAGACAAGTCTCCTGTGTCCTTACTAATTAATGTGAGACATAAGATGGGCTAAACTTTCTCAACTTTTTTTGTCAAAAATCGGGCCCTACTGATAGAAAACACATGGTTTTATTTATTCCTCTATTATTTGCTAAACTTACTATCCGTGCATGTCAAGCAAGTCACCCTATATGCATATACAGAATTTTATGCCTATTGAGACACGAAAATCGTATCTTAAAGTTATGTTGTAAACCTAGGATGAAGAGTATGATTAGTTAGGTGGGAGATTTAGGGATGCTCAAGTTGTTGTTCTGAATTCCTCTTAGCCGTTTCCACTTCAGGAGTCCAGTACCGGTCTAGAGATATAGGGCTCAGCCGAACAAACTGAGTAATGCAATGAGTATCTAACGCTAGTCCGTTTGAATAGCCACAGCCTAGATTCAAAAACAAGAACTCTTCTCGATGAAATGAGGATAAAGAACACTAATTAATAGAGTTAAACGATTTTGAGGTGATTTTTGTTTATTTGATGTTATTCATTTGCCTGGCATTTTTTACGTCTGAACCGCTCAATAAAATGGATCATTCTTCACTGGATGAAAGTTACATAAGCTAGCGTTGACAGTGATAAACAACAGAAAATGTGCCTATCATCTTACGAGACAATTTAAATTACTGCTATCAACTGTTTCACGTTTGTGAGTGGAAAGACGAGGGGGATAGGAAATGTCACAGTGGGTGAGAAAGAAAATACATTAATACGTGATATTGTAACAGAGCTATTTGTCTGGAGTTCAGTAGTAGACCAAGTTTACTGAGACAAGAACTGTATCCAAAAAAACTTAGTCGGTAGTAACTCTAACAATTAGAGAACAAATAGCAATTATGTACCAAAGCGTATAAAGTTACTTTATTGTAATCTAAAAAGCAACGGCATAAACACACTAACTACGCACTTTTAGAAGGTTAACGGCATTGCAAACCCCTAAATGAATTATTACCTACTAAACCGAACCGTACTAAGATCTATGGTCACTAGAATATAATATGGTGCCACGATTGTAACGAAGCAATGCAGTGATACATTTCGAACTAAAGATCCAAAAGGCACTTTGTTAGATGAAACACACGGAAATAGATGTAGACTTCATATAAATAATTCGAAACTTCGTCTGGATGCCGTCCGGAAGAATCTCGTGACTGGTTTCTTAAGAGTAGTAGTAGTTCGATCTTCAATGCGTATGAAGTCTACAAGTATATCATCTGAATTACCGAACATTGAAATCATTCCTTACTGAACATACAAGAATAAACCTGAATATTGACTATGAGGATCTTCAGCAAGTGAATGGCAAAATGTTTGAAATACTAACACGAAGAGCAGTAACTTGTTTACGTACTAAAATTTTTAACACTTTCTACTTTCCAAAATGTTATACTATAATAACGATAGCTCTACGAACAATTTATTTTACATCACATAATGTCTAAAGTATATCACGAAATCACCAAAACGATGAAGACCGTCCCTCCAAAACAACCTTCTTAAACATAGCGCCCTGCCCTTAATAAACTGATATATTTTATTCTATTCTTTAAAACACTGTTGTGAACACGACTAGATAAGGTAGAAAACACGTCCGTTTCAAAACGAATTACTTTCCCGAATTTACTTATCATGTAAGGTATCTTACTTGACTTTTATATATGTATACGTTATGAGAAGTCAGTACTTACAACAATGAAGGATATGAATGAAAATAAATTGCACAAGTCACTATTGGATTCGTCTTTGAGGGGTGATATTTGCCACCTCATATAAAAAAGATCTCCTATATAACTTGCGTTTGTGGTATCTGGATCTCCGTTGATCTCTGTCTTGCCTACTGTATTAAATTGTTGTTACAGTGATGGAAATGAACAAAGAGTCTAGACGGAAAAAGCCTAACTCGGACAGTCTTTCTGGTAAACGAATTTACTGTCTGCTCAATAAGACTGTCAAGATCAAGCAACAACAGAAGCTCTACAGTATCTAACTTCAATGCACATTCATTCCTCACTGCTTACGAATTCCAAATATAATGCGCTCATTTGTGTCCAATACCATACTGTGAATTACTCATCTCCGATTGTAGACCGTCTATCCTGGATCTGGAGGATTTGAGAATGCTTCACGGAAATCCTTCCTTATTGGTCGCTGAAGACGATTCTAACAAAATACTTGGTAACTTGTTAACTACATAATCAAAGTGAGAATTTCGCATGACTCTAAAGCACTTAAATTCTGGGGCTCGTGTAGGAAGTGTTAAGACTTTGAGAACAAACAAACGAACAAAAATTCAAGGGCACAAACAAGGGAATGGATGAAGATTTTCAGTGTGGAATTAAGAAACCAAACTCAGAGTGACCAATAATTAAGTTGATTAAATCAACAAATTTTCGTTAAGTCACTCACTCATCGATGGAGTTATGTAACATATAGTTCTGGAAGAAGCTTGCTTGGGATTCTAAAATAAAAATGCAATATACACAACTCTCTCAGTATGTGCTACAAGTCTGTTACACGCGTGATTTCTATGTGGTATACGCCTTTACACCACAACTCTTAAACCGAAAGTTGAAACCCTTCATGATTAGTACGAAAAGAAAAAACAAACTGCTGTTTAACATAACCAAATGAGAAAAATGACATAATAACCGATTTTTCTCATTGTACAATGTACAAACCACTACTAGCCTTATTAATATGACATTCGATAATCTAGGCTATATATCACCGATAATTCATAAGGCCAAGCTAGACTATCCAGCAAGACCAAACCATCCAGCTCAGGGGAAAAAATCCACCAAAATAATCTACCTGGGCTACGAATTTTCTCCGTCATTTTTGGAAAGGTATATCATGCCTGATAAATCTTCTCATTGCGAGAGAATATCGGGCTGAGGCAAAAGACCGGAATATTTCTGTAGATGTATTTTTCATAGATCAGAGTGAAGCCTTTGATAAGGTAGATTCTAAAAAGTGTGGTGCTGCACTTGAATAACTGTTACGATTCGTATCACTGCACAATCCACTGACTTTTGTTACATGAAGTAATGGGCTATAAGAATTTAGGAGTCATAATAAGCAGCGATCTCAAAACCACAAGTAACTGATAGGCTGCTGCTGCTGCAAAAGGATATGGGTATTCGTTGGTCTTTTCAGTATTTGGATGAAGAAATATTTAAATTATTATACTTGACTTTCGTTAGACCGCATTTGGAATATGTGATTCAAGTACCGAGTCCTTGTTTCAAGTATGAGGCAGATATGCTAGAACGAGTTCAACGACGAGGGATTAAAATGGTAAAATGTCCATCTTGCCTATCTTATGAAGACAGACTGAGACACCTCAACTTTTTTCCATTATCTTACTCTAGTATACCTCAGACTACCCTGTGTTCATAGCTAATGACTTCACAAGTTCCACTATCATGGGATACGCAAGCGGAGGAGCGGATATTTACATTACTGGCTATGTATAAAAGGACGAAATCTCCTTTTACACATATACATTATATCCCTTCCTAGGTAGTGTTAACCTGATAATTCTGGAGTAATGACGAAGTAGTGGACTAAACAAGTCTCTGTCACAGCCACAATAAGTGGCCCTAATTTGTCCACTAATGCTCCCAGTTCATAGAATTTATTTCCTAGGCTAAGAACACTTGCATATGAATCTCCTAGGAAGAACGACCTATCCACACAGAGCTTCGTAGCATTCGCTTGCAAGGCCTGACTATCCGAAAACCCACTACCGGAGATTTTCTTGAATATTTTGTCGACGGGTTCCTAGTTCAGCTAGCGCCGACTTCCTTTTTATTCTATCTTCTAGAGGTATATCAGTTCTTACTCGAATGTCAGTACTGTCGTGACAACGAGTGCTATCAAGCAGAAGATAACGTTGATTCTCCGACACTAGGATTATCTTAAGGGGTCCACATGGTCGGAGTTTAACTTTTTCGTCGGTCCTCTTACCTACTCGTATAAATTTTTCGAATTAAACTCCTTTAGTTTCATCTGGTAAGATACTACGGATAAATCCCCCGGTTTAGGGATCATAATAATTTGATTCTTGCAAATTACTCACAATGACATTCGACGAGATTAAACTCTTCTCAGCCACTCCTGGATGGAGTCCTGTCTTATTAACAGTCTTTGGTAGTGTATTGTGTGACTCAGAATGATAGTTCACTAATGACATGCCAACCAAGTGTGTGTCGTTTATAAAATTTTTTCGCTTCTTTTTATCCGTATTGCCATCCATTTTCCATGACTCAGGACAACCACACCTGGATTATCTGGGACGGTGTCGGATTTATCCGGGTCTTTAATTTCTACTCATGTCAATATCAGGTGGCACTTCACTCCTCTTCAGTTTCAACGGAGATTTCCCTTTTCTGTCAATCATGGTCGGCTGTTTATCTCGTCCCGTAGCAGCACGTACTACACTGACACATTCTGTACTGTCAGTACTCGTGTTACCAACGCAACCACCATCTTCCTCGTTGCAGGCCAAAGATAAGTGGCTCATAGCCTCTTGAATCAATAGTGTCTTATGCGTACAGCAAAACATGCAGAGTCAATGTGAGTTAGGCTCAGAGCATCTTTTGTATTCGGTGGGACTTAGATGGGTACATATCTTATGAAACCACTTTTTAGACTCATCACATTGCACCCTTCCTTCATGGGGTATAAAAATTTGGGTGCCCTCATTTGTAAGTGCTGTGAACCACTGTAATCAGATGTTTAAAACACAATATGAGAACAAGTGTCAGAGTCAATGAGAAAGAAGGCATCACAAAATTTCGAACCCTAACCAAAATATCTCAAGTTAAAGTGGACCAAGAATGCTTTTCGATGTAATAAGTACGAAAATTAAAGGTAAACACAAAAAGTACTAAATCACTGCCCTTTTTATGACGTGTTTCGTAACTGCAGATACAGGGACCACCCTCTGACCAGGAATAATCAAAACAAAATTGGAAAAACTAAAAATACTGGTTGAAATCATGAGTCAATTGAAGCTAGACCACCATGGAAAACCTGGAAGCACTGGACGGCCGTTTCGTCCTAGTGTGGGACTGCTCAGCAGTGCGCGCCCACGATCCCGCAACGCACACTTCTGGAGTTCTAGTGAGAAGTCGTGACCAGTGGAGTTCAGCCAGGTCTGTTGTGAGATATCAACTCACTGAAGACAATGGCGTACGGTGGCGCAACTTCGTGGATTGGTCGAAGTTAGACATTAACACCGTTGGATGCCGGCCCAGTGGTCTAATGCTTAAGTGCTCACGCGCGAAACCAGTAGGTCCTGGGTTCGAATGTCTCGGGAGGCGGGATCGTGGATGTGCACTGCTGAGCAGTCCCATACTAGGACGAAACGGCCGCCAAGTGCTTCCAGGTTTTCCATGGTGGTCTAGCTTCAATTGACTCATGATTTCAACTATTGAAATTTCTCAAAATTCCTGCAAAACCCATTCGGAAGCGTAATCAGAGTTTTAAAGAATAATCATTTGATTGGCTTGATGTTCATATCCGTATTATAGTGAGGCAGCTATATTCATGAAGCCATCTAGGAGTCAGTAAACTCTTAACCAGCTAACTTTAGCTGTTGCGACTGCAAAGAGATAAACACGAGCAGTTGTACTTCATACCAACACTTTGTTGACGATTAATAGGCTGTTCAATTATAATATATAGAACCCCAAGACGTGATGTTAGACATAACGTATCTTGTTCTTCTTTTTGAACTCGCTAAAGACAAAACGAAAGTTATAGCATGCAGTTTTAGGAGCTAAGAACAAGCAGGTTTGTCGTGGTAAGCAGGCCCTCCCACCGTGTATGCAATTCTTAGAAGCATTAACTAGACTTTCAACCTACTCATTCAAATTGTTACTTTGGTTTCTTAACGAAATATAAAAGCGTAGATCCACTCGCAAAACGAGATTATATTGTTACATTATTGAATAGGTTTAACTATACGCTCTAGTTCATGTAAAAAATTTCCTTTTTCTCCTTATAGTTTCAGTACGATTTGTCTACGCAAGATACTCAATGTTCGTTGACTGGATACTATCGGCAGCAGCCTACTGTGGGAGAAAACAAACCATCTTCCACCTGAAGAGGAAATCAGGAAAAGATGTTGGAAGTGGATAGGACAGACTTTGCAGAAGTGACTTAACTGCATCACGAGGCAAACGCTAACTTGTAATCCTGAAGGGAAATGCAGAAAAGACAATAGAGCACACTGCGCTGTCAGTAGATACCAAAAGGATGAGTGGCAATTGGATAGAGGATGCTGGTGGGCGGCCTATATTCCTTCACGAAGGGAAAAAGGAGTAAGTGTGCTTTCTTACAACCCCGTTCCTCCAGAACCGCATGAGTTGCTAGGTCCATATGCCGCGGGTCCGCAGCCTCACCACTTGTAATCACAGTTACTGACATATGTATACACGAAGTCAAAATCCTGTCATCTAGTTTATGAAATGTAAGGGTGTATGTATTCCACTTCATTTAGAGAGGA